GTGTACTGCTGGCCCCTGTAGTCCTCTTTAGCAGGTGTTTTGAAGGATAGCCCAGCTGGTTTCCTGGATGCTTTTTAAATTGTCCTCTCCATAGTTGCTCACCTTGTTCCTCAGCCCCTTCTCCACTACCAAGACCAAATCATAATTGCGAGCAGGAAGATCTATCCAGCTTCAGAATATTCTAGAACTGTGTGACACATCACTCTTGCAATTAGAATGATATAAATTAAGTTCTGCATATGGGGACTGGGATCTCATTCGTGAGCTGTTTTTATATAAGTTGTTTCTTGTCCTTTACTTTCAAAGTTTCCATATTTTTCATTCTCTTAATAGCGGATTACATAAGGGGGTGCAAGTCCCTACAAGTAAACCCATGTCCAGATTACACCTGGAATTTTCAATGGTAACTACTTTTGTACTTACTAATCTTGTGCTATAGCCTCCTGTTAACCACCTATAACATCATCTTGAATATCCTAGAGCTCTCGCTAGTCTTGACCTGGATTTGGAGAATTGCTGTCACCCTTGGACATTGTACTTGCTAGTCATTGTACTTGCTATCTCGAGATATTTACTCAAAAAAGGGAAAAAAAGCACATAATCTCATGCAAATCTGAAAAGTTGAGGTTAAAATCATTTTAAGTCCAATAACCTCTATTAACATTTTCTTGCCTTCAGTTCTGATTACATATTTTTGTTCTGCATATATTTAAGGTCATTTTAATCAAAGCATGCATAAAAATTGAGCAGTCTCTCCAAGTTACTCTATTTTTTCCCAATCTTCATCAGAGCTTCTGTTATTCATTTTAACTGTAAATTCTCAAAAACTATAGAAAAAATATTTATATTGATTCATTCATTCATTTATTTAACATGCAATTATTGAATACCCCACTTCTGATAGGGACATCAGATTGAAACTATTTAACTATGTAAGAAAAAAAAGGAAAGAAAAACATCATATTGTAAAATGGTGCTGTTAAGTATTTTCAGTAATCTATAGAGATGTTATTTTATGTAGCTAAGCTTAAAAAGAAACAAATATTTTGCAGCGAACAAATTTTGGCTAACTTAAAAAAATTAAAAGTTAAACCAATACATTAGTTTTGTTCCTTACCAATACCTTAAATTATATGAGTACTTAAGGGGGTGACTACCCTCTTCCTGGCTTAATTACACAATTTGCTTGCTTCATTACACTCACATTCAAAGCAATTTTGTTCATTTTATGAAAAGTGAATTCTAATTTTTCTGCATTGTTTAGTTAAAATAGTCTCTGTAACCTGTTGCTTTTAAATTCCTAGCACGACAATGCTGTTCTTTAATAAACACTATCAAGTGTTCCATAGAGATTTTGTTATTTGTTTCACGTTTTAGTATCACTAGTTTCAATAGCAATTTAATGTATTCAGTATTTTTTAAGTTATCACTGTCCAGGGTTATAACTGTGTAATTTTCCTCACTGGGAAAACTAACCTTTAATACCATGAATCTTTTTATACAGGAAGATAATCATAGAAGCCTCTTGGTAGCCATTCCTGTCAAAGTGCTTCTGGAATAATATAGCCTTGAATCCTTTTTTTTTTCTCTCTCTCTTTATTTTAATGAACACATTTTAAACTTAATGAATTCATGCAAATTGAAAACAAAATCCCCAAACAAAAAAATATGCAATTTAGGAAAAACTGCAGATTTTTCCATATGCTCAAACAGGCTTGTTTTCTCTAGGCATCGGTAAACTTAGAAACTAAACATTTTAATATTCTCCTAAACAGAAAACTTAACATTTTTGCAGTGTATTACATTACAACATCTCATATTTGCATAATGTTAAAAATTTAACCTTATTTTGCATATATATATGTATGTTTGCATATATATATATGTATGCATATATATATATAAACATAGTATGTTTATATATATATATATATATATATAATGTTTTCTCTTTACAAAAATCAACTGGTTGTGTAGGAACTTGTTTTGGGCAGAGTTAATGCTAAAATAAACTTGTGGCACTGATTTGTCATTATTTCCTTGCCAACTTTGATCTTTCAAGTCCTTAAATATATGTGTTCCCTTAGATCTGATAGTCATTCTTCTTTCTTGTCTCTTCACCTTAAGGCTGTTTTTTTTCCTACCTCACAAGAGTCCTGGCTAATTCCAGGCAAAGATTTGGCTCCTGCCTTGACTTTATCCTGAGTGTTAGCCCCTAACTGAAGACCAACACCTAAATCACCCCCACTGGGGACACCCCATCATCTTCTTCTCAAATCCAATTTAAACACAGCCGATTCAGATTGGTTGCATCAAAGTGACGAACATGTCAGGTGTGGTGTGGCTAAAACTCCGTGGTTGCAGTATTCGGTGCAGATGGCTGTAATGGTTAATGCCAATCATGGGAACCTCAGACTAGAATAAGAGAAAAACTGATGGTGAGTGTGGCCACAATGCCAGAGGAATAAGTAGGTTAGGTTATTGCCTAACAGGAGATCGTTAGGCACATTGGGAAGGTTTTTCTAGATATAAAATGGTAAGGCTTATGTAACCTTAACATTTGTAACCCCTGTAATATGCTGAAATAAAATAAAATAAATAAAATAAAATAAAATGGTAAGGCCTGTAATAAAAAGACGCTTTGACTTCTAAAATACCAAATAAATGAAGTGAGGAAGAATTTCAAGAAGGTGTTTGAGAATTATCTTTGGATGTCCTATATAAGCTGAATCGTGTCACCCCCAAATTTGTATGTGGAAGCCCTGAGCCCCGGCACCTTCAGAATGTGTGTCTGCATTCGAAGACAGAGCCCTTGCAGAGGTGACTGAATCAAAATGAAGCCTTTCGGGCGGGCTCTAATCTATTACGACTTGTCGTAAGGAGAGAAAATTCGGATGCACAAAGAGACACTGAGGTGCACGGACACAGGGGAAAACCGAGTGAGGACACTTGGCCAATGTGGCCATCTGTGAGTCCATGAGACAGTCTTAGGAGAAGCTGAGCCAGTCGGCACCTTGATCTTGAACTTGTAGCCTCTACAATTGTAAAAAAATATATAAATGTTTGTTGTTCAAGCCACCCAGTCTGTGGTGCTCTGTTAGGGTAAGCCTGGCTACCAGTGCAAAAATGCAAAGAGATGAAGATAACACACTCCTGAATCCCATTAAATGGGATGTAGTAGTTTGACCCACAGAAATGGGACTATTAGGGTTTGGAACAGAACATCATGAAGTTTGTTTTTATTAACGCTTGTTGGCTATATTGCTGTTGTTAATAACATCCTTCAAATAGTAATAAAAATCACTGTGTATTCTAGGCATAAAAGATGAAGTATGAGTACCACGCTTTTATCATTTTTTCATCCTAAAAATGGCCCTCTCTTGACATAGTCTTACATTTTCTCTCTCTCTCTCCCTTATTTCTCTGATTTTCTCCCTCTACCTTTGCTTCCCCCGTGCTCTTATCCCATCCTCTTTAAGTCACGTTTCTCGAAAAGTAGTTCATAACATTAGATCTGCATTCCCATTTGCTCCCTAGCACCCTGAAAACAGTACACGGTGGGCCCATCCATGCAGGGCCCATATGTGTCTTCGGGGTTTTTTGGCAACAAGTTCAGATCTGAGACCAATTCTGAGGACGGAAGGCTGATGTACCATCCAGCTGTTAACCCTTCCCTACCTTTACCATTCCAATGAATTTCGTGTAATAGACACAACCAACACCACCCACCTGTCAAAGCCCGCGGTCCCAGTTTAACCCCTTTCTTCTTGGATCCTCATATATGATTGCAATGCATTAGTATTCCTCCTCCTTCATCTTATTCGCTCTCCCAGATTGTGTAGTGTATCATCTTTCCCTGGTTCTTCTACTGGGACTTTCCTGCACTTCTCTTTCACCCATCTCTGTTTTACATACCTTGATTTCCTTGTGCCATCCGGTCCTCAGACCTGTGATCTTCTTCATCTGAATTTTCCCTGGGATCATCTCACACATTCTTGATGTCTTAAGCTATATATTGTGTGCTGCTGTCTCCTTTCCCTTCCTGATCTACATCTAGATCCAGTCCTAGCATCTTCTCTGCGCGGCAGGAGGATCAAAGTGGTGCTGGACAGCTCCTCTTCAATGTCCCATGAGCATTTGGGGCACACATGCCTGTACCGCATTACCTACCTTAAATAAGGACTCCACCATCTTCAAAGTCTCTTCATCTCTTTACCTTGGAGTCAGCCTACACACAACTGAGGAGTCCCCAAATTCTGAGAAATTCACCTGCCCAGACTAATGCAACAACCTCTTAATTGGTCTCTCTAACCCTAAACTTGGACCCTTACCTCTATCTCCTATACGGTCTTCTATATACTGTTCTACACTGTGAAGTGTGATATGTTGAAAATATAGATCTGCCTATGACACTCCCCTGATAAAAAGTTTGCAGTCATTTCTCTGAAAGGATACAATTCACACGACACGCAATACCACTCATAGGCTTCCTATTTCTGTGGCGTACAAAGCCATCCTCGATAAGGCCCTTCTTAGTCATTCCTTTGGCCTCACTCAATTCCTCACCTTGCACTATCTGTTCCAGTGCCGTCTAATTGCTGGGAGTTCTCCTGATCTTATCGGGATGTTTAATTCTTCTGCTTTCTCTGCCAGTGAGTTCCTTTTCTTCTCTGACTACTTCCCCCTCAGCCTTTCTGATTTTTTTTTTTTTTCTCTTGGATTTTTTTTCAAGGATCCATTCTTGATGGATCAGCTGATAATTTTCCATGCTCTCACCCAGGCCTACCAAGCACAGTGCACTGGAACAACAGGCTAAAAATTCTTGGATGCAGGGATGTTTGAGCCCCAGTTTCCAACACCTGGCAAGTAGACATAGCACAGGTTGATCTGAAGTCGTTTGGAATTAGCGATCAAAAAAATATTCACACGCTTGTTTTATAATGGTGGTATATACTGGAGATCTCTATGCCACATAACTATTTTTAACATTCCGCACTCACCATATTTATGGGATCCACTGGTCCAATGCTGTTCACATAAACATCAGTTTCAATTACCGTGGGCCTCACTGCAAAGTACCAACACAAACAATGGTCAAACATGTAATCAGAGGTCGTTTTAAATAAATTTTAGTTTTCAATGAATCTTCATAACCAATGATATTTTACCATTTCCATCGTAAAACATTCTTCATTATGAAGTGCGGAAACATGGCCCGCCACAAAAATATTAACACCTTTCAGTTTTTAAATCAATTATAATAACTAAAAATTAATGTTTTTAATGGAAAAAAAACCCTCCAATGTGCAGCCTAAAAATATTTCAAACATCTCAATCATCCACTAAAATTCAGGAAGTTAATTCAGTAAAAAAATTTGCTAGATGATTCGTTCTGAAATAGCCACAGATTTTAGGATTGGAGTGGATTTTTGGTAGTATGTACTTACACTTAGTGCTCACCAGAAGTACACCGGTAAATGTTTAATGACCTTGCTCTCAGAGAGAGGGGATGAGCCCCTAATTTGTTGATTTCTATGCCGTGAATACTCCCACAATGGGTGATTTAAATATATCAATGTGAAATCATTGAATGCAAAGGCTATATGTAATATTAGTATATATTATATGTTACTTCATAAGAGGCTATCATGAGTCAATATGGGCCAGTTTCAGCACATACTGGGATTTGAAGTATAATTATGAGGATTAAAGGACATAATATATGTTAAGAAACTATCTTGTTTCCCTGAAAATAAGACAGGGTCTTATATTTATTTTTCCTCAAGAAGACACCCTAGGGCTTATTTTCAGGGGATGTGTTGTTTTCCCCTCAAAGCCTCAGCTTGCAGCACGCACAGGATGGCCGGGACCTGACAGGGGGAGCCAACCTTGTTGGTGGGGCTGTCCGCACCTTTCCGGTCACCTCTGGGATAGTAGCTGTCATGATGGGGCAGATGAGAAGGGCTGCTCGTGTTCTTTCCCGCTCCGAGACGACATGCATGGGTTGTGTAGATGCGCTGCGCAGCCACGCCCGTCACTAGGGCTGATTTTTCATAGCCACGCCCATCACTAGGGCTGATTTTCATGACCACGCCCATCACTAGGGCTGATTTTCATAGCCACGCCCATCACTAGGGCTGATTTTCATAGCCACGCCCATCACTAGGGCTGATTTTCATAGCCCCATCACTAGGGCTGATTTTCATGACCACGCCCATCACTAGGGCTGATTTTCATAGCCACGCCCATCACTAGGGCTGATTTTCATAGCCACGCCCATCACTAGGGCTGATTTTCATAGCCACGCCCATCACTAGGGCTGATTTTCGGGGTAGGGCTTCTATTGTGCACATGCTTAGAAATCTTGTTAGGGCTTATTTTATGGGTGGGTCTTATTTTTGGGGAAATGTAGTACCTCCAAGTCTGGTTCATATGAGGAGCTTAATATGTATCTGTTCATGTCTCCTTCCTTCTTCCCTTATTAACAGTATTCCTTTAGGTTGTTTATAGTTGGATGCAGTGTAAGGCATATTTTCACCTAATTCCCACAGATTGCACTTCATGGACATCACTGTAGACCTTGCCAATTGTGTTTTGTATGTAACCATTAGTGTTTTTCCAGTTAATTTTTAAATGACACATAACGATATTTTTGTTCTATTAAAATGTATATCACTGGTGAGCCTTCCAAATGGTTACCAAATAAACATAATTAGCAAATATCTACAGGAATGCCATCTCTGATCATGATTTAGGCTTTCGAGACTCACCAGGTATTTTTTGGCTTTCTCTAATGAGACTTATCATCGTAATGATGACATAGACTCATATGTTTTTCTGTTTTCTGTAAAACCTTATTTTCAGTTTCTTTTACTCCACCCATCGCTAGCACCAAAGAAGATGTAAAAGATTAATTTAGTGACTCAGCAAGTACTTATTGAGGAGTGGGTGTAAAGGATGCCAGAGGTAGACAAGAAGGAGAAACACATTCCTAGGAGAAAATCTGTCACACTTCTCAACAGAGAATTATACGGAGATAAAGCAGCAAACTTTTCTTGTAGGTGGAAAGTTGCTCTGTTTTTGTGGCATATTGTTGGTCATATTTGCTCAGTTCTCCTTGCCAGACTTTATCTGTATCCCCTTTCTGACATAGTATTCATCACTCTTATAATTCCAACGTTGTGATCCACCTGTCAGATGTATTTCTTCACGTAATACACAGCCATGTCTGCGTAGGTAGCCGGCCTCAGTTTCCCCGCATTGGCATTTTGCAGTCTGACAGAGCCCTCAAGCTACCAAACTTCAAAGGAGAACTTAAGGTATTTTTCAAAACAGTGTCGCGATATAACTTCAAAAACAGTATTTTTATCCCTTGCGATTAGAAAAAAGTTAACACTTGGGAAAACACACACTTACATAGTTTGTTTTGCCTCCAGAAAACGTTTTATTACATGACATTTCATATTTTATTAACTAGAAAAATTAATGAGATTAGTTAGAAATAGTTTCAGTATGCAAAAGTATAAGTTTCTAAACCTCTACCTTACTTGAAAATGTAATTCAGTCTGCTAGCCAGCAATTAGATATCTTAAATAAAAGAAGGATGTATCACGTACAGAAGGTTTTACAATTTAACTTAGGCTGATGCCTTCTGAGATGAGTTGCTTTAACTGTTTGTCATTTATTCCTGACTAGCTATGAATTCTAGCCAATAAATATCATATAATTAAGCTAATTACAGCTAGATTTACAAAATGATTTTATGAAAGCCAATTAACAAGACAATAGATTTATTATTCCTATTTGTAAGTATATTTATTACCAGTAATAAGCATTTATAACTGATATAAGCAATGTACCACGCTTATATAATTAGGTTTATTTTTTTTCAATTAAACTGATAGATCAACCAACACTGCAGACCTGCTTTGATTTCATAATATTCAGAGATGAACATTAACTCCATTGAGAAAGAAATGATTCCTGGAGACGTTTTTATTCACAAGATATGCTTCCCATATTTACAATGTAGAAGGTTTCAGATATAAGTGAGCCACCCTGGGTTCCTGATATCAACATTTCTTAGCTGATTACAAGATGGACTTACGTATGTCATAAAAAATCTTAACTCTGGCATGAGTCACCTGGGATTGGAGACACTGAGATACTTCATGATCAACATAAAGCAAGGATGGGGATCAAAAAAGAATCATATTAGTAAATCCAATATACAATGTTGCTATCGATAAAGAAGATACTCAGTAATTGTTAAATATATATTTGCAAACTATGCATCTTTTTTGAGTTATTCTGTGTCCCATTTTATAACTCTGGGCTATTGGTATTTTCTCTTATCTTTGAGTGTGCAGCCCCAAATCACAAAGAAGAAAAAACCTGAAAGTACACTAAAGTATCTCAGATAAATTTTGAAACTACAGCTAGTGATTATGTGCTTCCAAGTGTATAGTTATGAGGAAAACAACTGAAATCTGTAATTGCTCCTTAGTAATGACTCATTGCCATGTTCGTATTACTATAAACAATTCTTGTGGGTAAAATTACTTAAAACACAGGCTTCTTGGAAATTGAGTAAGTAGTCTTTATTAACACTATGATTTTCCCAGTCCAGAGTTTGTTCAATTGCAGGATTTTTAGCACTGCTTCAAAAGGAAAACATAGTTTAATTCAAAATTGGGAAACCAAAACTAAAAGGGGATTGTCATTCCAGGCTCGTTAAATAATGTCTTGAAAGTGGGCACAGATTATGATTAATTCATGAGCATACAAGGGGACAAAGATCTCTTTCTTGCAATAGTGTAACAATAGGTAAGAAAACCATGTACTGCCACAACAAATTACATTTTTTTTTGTATGGGGAACGCAGGTAGAGATGACACTGGATTATTTTTGCAAGGCTTCTGTCTGTGCTGTGATTCTAAGTACTTTGCTGTAAGTAGCTCACCAGAATATAAGTAGATAAACTCCCAGTGGGAGTCAGGATATAGAGAGAATACAGGTCCGGGGCAATAAAGGACACCCTGAGAACAGACAGAGGATGAAAAATGTACAGATTTTAAAAAGAAGAAAGCAGTGAGATCAATATGGTTTCCACGTTCAGTTTCCAGATATTGAAGGCAAGGAGAAGCAGTTCTAGGGGTGGGAATTGGCTTATTAATCAGAAAATATACACTCAAATGGATTTTTAAAAATATTTTCTTTATAATTTATCTTAACCATGCTTTCTCTGACACACTTATTTCAATTTCTATAAGATTATCTTTAATTGATTAGGTAGCTTTTTGGTCACTTTTCATATTAAAATTAATGTAGGTCAACTAAAAATTCTCGCTCTGAAGAGTAAGTTCTACAGACTTTTCTTATTGTCCCAGAATAGGCATTAAAAAAAAAAAAAGGTCCCACTGATCCAGATATTGCAGTTATCATGCACAGACTTTGGTTTTCTTTATGTTGTATGAATTTTATTCCCATTTAAAAATTTCATGTAACCAAGTATATTATTGTTTACAAGAGGTACAGGTACAATTCCAAGAAAGAAAGGAGCCACCTAGTGTAAACGCTCTTAGACACTGGTCGCCTTCAGATTCTTTTCCAGTCTTTACCCAAATTCAGGTTTATTTTTACCAAGCTGTGTTCAAAATTCTATGAGCCTTTTAAAAAAGTTTTTTTTTTTTTGAGGGAGTCATCTGTTTCTATCTGCAAATAATTCCTTCAAGTACCAACTGTTTCACTCAAGTGATACATTTGGGAGCTATATTAGTCAATAATTCTCTTTTCTTGTACTCTCCCAGTCTAATTTAGTTATCAGGATTATGCTGGTTTTATAAAACGAGTTGGGAATCTTTCCTTCTGTATTTTCTGGAAGAGGTTATGTAAGATTTATATTATTTCCTTCTTGTATATTTGGTAGAATTCACCAGAGAGGCAAAAAACAAAAACAAGCAAATAAATAAATAAGTAAATAAAACACACACACACACACACAAAAAAGACAAAAACAGTAATGATTATTTCTGAACTGGATCCTCATGATGTAAATACATCATTGAGACAATTGGAAATTGGGGCTGAGTATTCAATGCAGATTATTTTGCAAATTTCCTATTTGGATTGGGATTGTTGGTAAAAATATTTAGTGGATGAAGTCCATGAAATTCACAAACCAGTCACACGTAATAAAAAATTGTTCTGCATTTAGCGAGGTTTTGGCTGTCCATTCATGTATGTGAAAAATATGTGTGTTATAATCTGAGCATAGAAGATAACTGTTTTTACACATAAAAACAAAGTATTTTTGTGTTTTCAAGAATTTTTCAGAAATACATTGTATAAAACATAGGAAGATGGTATTTATTTTGTTCTTAATTTCTTTCTTTTTTTTTTTTTTTTGGAGATAGGGTCTTACTCTTTAGCTGGGGATGGAGTGCAGTGGCATCATCATAGCTCACTGTAACCTCAAATTCCTGGGCTCAAGCTATTCTCCTGCCTCAGCCTCCCGAGTAGCTGGGACTACAGGCATGCGCCACCATGCCCGGCTAATTTTTTTGTATATATATTTTTAGTTGGTCAATTAATTTATTTCTATTTTTGGTAGAGACGGGGTCTCGCTCAGGCTGGTTTCGAACTCCTGACCATGAGCAATCCGCCCGCCTCGGCCTCCCAAAGTGCTAGGATTACAGGCGTGAGCCACCGCGCCCGGCCTGTTCTTAATTTCACCAAGAGTTGTATACACTGTTTGAGCTAACCACACCACCAATTACAATGCTGCTCGTACCATGTTTCCCCGAAAATAAGACCTACCCATAAAATGAGCCCTAGCAGGATTTCTGAGCATTTGCACGATAGAAGTCCTACCCCGAAAATAATACCTAGTGACGGGCGTGGCTACGCAGCGCATCTGCACAAATCCATGCATTTCATCGAGGAGCAGTAAAGAAGTCAAGAGCTCTCATCTGCCCCGTGAGAGCTCTAGTGCTCCACATGAGAGATCGGGGCTGATGGTTCTAAAGGAAATAGAGTCGCAAGAAATTCAGGATGGAATTCGGGCTTTGGAGAGTGAGGATGATGTTCCAGAAGAAGACGACTTCACTCTATTTGAATTAATGTAGATGGTTATACCGTACTTTAAAAAAAAAAATAACTCATCCCCTGAAAATAAGCCTTAGGGTGTCTTCTTGAGGAAAAATAAACATAAGATCCTGTCTTATGTTCGGGGGAACACGGTAGTATTGGAGTCACTGTTACTAAACACATATATCACTTTACCTGTCTGGCTTTCCAATATGTAGTGATTCTATATATAAATTCAAGCATCTAGCAGCTTCATCATTTCTCCCAGCCTATCTATGCCTGGGCCTTTGTATATGGAATGCAAAATATTTTATTATAAATCATTTCATACCACCCTACCTTATAGTTAGGGACATATATATGTATATATTCCCATAAATATAAATGAATATATAATCCCAGGAATGGTTCTTCTTAGGAGAATGGAAGTTTGGTCTCTCATCTCTACTTAAATTATCTCTTTAGGAGCAGACTTGCTCCTTATCCTATATGTGATTAGGGAAAAAGAGAGGAGTGGTGGGATTCAAAGGGGAAAAAAAGCAGTGGAAGATCTGCACACCTACTCTTTAGCACATCTAGGATATTTTATTTCTTGTGGTTATAAAGTATACTAAAGGAAAATAACTGCACTGGAAGAATCTCGTCAGTTTCTTGACCTCAGAGACTTGTGCACCAGGGCACAAAACTTCAAACAGATTGCTGATGAAAGGAGCTGAGGCAGGTGGCAGACAGAGAAAAGCCCCCGGATTTCCCATGCCACAGTACAGAATGCCTAAGGACAACAACAAAAACCACTCATGCCCTCCTACCCGTAAGAGTCATTATTTGCATGTCTACCCCTCAAAATCCACCTAAGGCCAGTTGGTGTTATCCCAAAAGGAAGTAACAACTAAAGGATGAAACCGCACCCAGTTAGACACATGGACCATTCTTCTACATGTCTTCCCCATGTCTCCATTGCCAGAAACCTAGAAGGATTGAAGACGTGGAGTAAAAGAACAGGGCACACTATACTTCCCTTATCACCACCCCACCCCCAGTGTCTGTCTAGTGGCACTTGTCTGCCCAGCCCCTTCAGAGAACGATAGCTTTAAATCTGTTTAAACATTAATTTTTTAAGACTGCATTGAACTGCTTAAATAACTGAAACTATTGGGAAGGTCGTAGAATCTACCTTAAAAGTTATTAAGAGAAAGGAAAAGAATATTCGCCATGAAGTAATTAAAAGCTTTACTAGATAAACAAAACTTTTAATAATTCCCCATTCAGTTTAGAAGACCTCAATACATTGGTTAGATAAGTTTCCATAGCAAAACCAAAGAGAAAAGGTGCTAACATGAATTTTGGACAAAAAAAAAAAAAATGCCTGCAAAGATCATTTCAACAATTAAGTCATTTATAGTGTATATTCTGGTGCACAGAAAAAATGCTACTATGCATGATACAATCATCAATGTATCTAGGACATTAATCCAATGTATTGATCTGATGATATTACAGGTGTGCATGATTTTTGACCGTTCATACCTTGATCTGAAATAAAGGGACTTAAAAGGTAAAATTCATGGAATAGAGCAACTATCAAAACACCTACACATGGAATAAAAAATATATATAATATATTCACTGGGTTCTCTTCCACAAATACTCCATAAATATTAAGTGAGCCCTATTTATGTTTCACAAATTCTTTTAGCAATTAGGGATATGGTGAATTCTACTTTTAGGAAACTTTCATGATAGAAACAAAATAGATACTTAAATAATAACAGTGAAGCATTATTATTATACTTAAATAATAATAGTGAAGCATTATTATGAGGAGTAAGTGGAAGGACAGACTTATTTTTTGTGTGTTGATTAATTGGTATCAAAATAGCCATCTAAATCAAACAACTATCAAACTTATGTCTTAAAATCACACACTGATGGTTGAAGGAAAGAGATCAATTAAGACAGCTGCGATTTCAACATCTCTAATCATCAGGGAAATGCAAATCAAAACCGCAATGAGATATCACTTAACTCCAGTGAGAATGGCCTTTATCAAAAAGTCCCCAAACAACAAATGCTGGCGTGGATGCGGAGAGAGAGGAACACTCCTACACTGCTGGTGGGACTGCAAACTAGTTCAACCTCTGTGGAAAGCAATATGGAGATACCTCAAAGCGATACAAGTGGATCTACCATTTGATCCAGCAATCCCACTACTGGGCATCTACCCAATAAGATCAAAAGTCACTTCATGAAAAAGACACCTGCACTCGAATGTTTATAGCAGCACAATTCACAATTGCAAAGCTGTGGAAACAACCCAAGTGCCCATCAATACATGAGTGGATTCATAAAATGTGGTACATGTATACCATGGAGTACTATTCAGCTTTAAGAAACAACAGTAATAGAGCACCTCTTCCTGGATAGAGCTGTATCCCATTCTACTAAATGAAGTATCTCAAGAATGGAAAAACAAGCACCACATGTACTCAACCAGCAAATTGGTACTAACCGATCAACACCTAAGTGGACACATAGGAATAACATTTATCAGGTGTCGGGCAGGTGGGAGGGGGGAGGAGGGGATGGGTGTATACACACATAATGAGTGAGATGTGCCCCGTCTGGGGGATGGTCATGCTTGAAGCTCTGACTCGAGGAGGGAGGGGGGCAAGGGCAATATACGTAACCTTAACATTTGTACCCCCATAATATGCTGAAATAAAATAAATAAATAAATAAATAATTTTAAAAAGGTGAGATTTGATGCAATAATTTTCTAGAAGGAAGAAAAATAAAATGATGTGAGCTCTGCATTATTCCCTGGCCACTTTCTCCCCTTGGTAGATTTGCTGTTTCATTTGTACGGCACTAGTGACCGAACAGAACATAGTGGCTTAGAGAAATGTGACTGTCTCTTTGGGCTACAGAGACAAAACATGGAGCTAAGGGCTGTCAAGACAGCTAAGGCTTCCCTAGAATAAAGGAAACCACAAGGAGTTTAATTGGACATTCCACATTGCCACTTCCCCTCAAGGCATTTGCTAATCACTGAAGTGTACACGTGTACGATATGATGCTAACAAACTGAATATAAACAGCTGCTAAACATCTAAAATATCATGGAGCAAGTCCAGCTATTTTAGGGATGTCTGAGCCACCAGGGAGAGAAGCTCTTGCTATAAACCTCAGGCTGTCAGTTGAGACATCTCAAATTGCTATGTCTTAGGAAAAAAAGGAAATTTTCACAAAGGGAATTATACCAGTGTTGAACAAAATGACAGTGATTTTCCTTTACTCAACCTGATAACCAAAAAAATAAAAATCTTCTCTGAAAGAAGACACTATCATGTAGAAATCTCCATTGTTTTTCATATATCCTACTGGCATTCAATAAACAATTCTGCTGTCACCCTTTGTTGTTAACAGTTGATTACATTAAAACGCTTACACGTCTATTTTTCTTACTTCAGACCATGAACTCGCAAACTATGAGTGACCACTCCAAGTAATCTTCAAATCCAGTAGAGTCTCTAACACACTCAAGGAATATGAGATAAATGATTAAACTAGCACCAGGTATTTTTTCATAGTCACCCAAATCCCAGAAAGATAACTCAGACTTACCTCCTATATCCGGACGAAGTTTATTGTCATAGCCTTGAAGCAATGAGTTGAGAATTTGTGTGATATCTCCTTCATGTATTTTTGGAGCCAGGACCCAAGTTTTGTTCACTGTTAAATCCTCATCCTCTTCATCATCTGCTTTATCAGCACTAGAATAATTCAAAGAAAAATTTGAAGGATAAAAAACTCAACCAAATTGCATATAGAGAAAAAAAATAGTTTGAGTATTATAATTATGTAAGGAAGTAGTAAGATGGAAAAATCCTCACAGAAATTCAGTAAGTCAGTCTTACATTCAGTAAGACTATCACTTTTCTCATATGAGCTGTGCTTATGTGATAATGTTCAAACTTTAAGAATTCAGTGCAATAAATACAGTACATAATATTAAAGTAAACATCTGTCATTAAAGCTCTTACAGGTTATGCACTGAAAATGTGAATAATGTTCCCTAGATTTGTGCAATACACAATCTGCACAACCATGTGTGGTGACCCTAAACTACTACAACCAAAATAAAAACTAAAAGGTAAAATATTAACAGGAAAAGATGTAATATTAATAATCAGTCTGGTAAAATGCATTTAAAACAAATATATAGAACAGAATTAAGGGAATATGAGTGAAGAAAGATTTGGAAAAAAAAAAAAGGAAAATATGTTGTACACACTCATGCTCATTCCTTTAAAGTCTGAGAACCCAGGCATCTTAATCCAAGAACCTTTTCAAAAATTGATCATCAAATCATCGGTGGGTGACTCACCCTCCACATATATTTGGGGGAGGAGAAAATAACTGTAAAATTTTAGGACTAGGAATGAGATTTGAGAGATCAAATAACACCCTTTATTTCATGAATGAGAAGACTGAAGATCACGGGAAACTAGGGAAAGCACAAACCTATTTCTTAGCAAAACTGAGAATCAAACCCTAACTAATTCTTCCTGCTAAACCTGTGTGCTTAAAAGCATAAAGATTCGGCATGCTTCTGAATTATGGTAGAAGCATTCAGTAATATAGATATTCACCTACAGTTCATCAAAAGCAATACATTTATTTTTATCACTCATAAGTAATTGCATCTTCGTTTGAATAAAATTATTCTAGATTTAACAACAGACCCTATTTTAGTAAATCTCTAGTGCTCCAGTGAAAAGGGATCTAAAAAACTACAAACTAACATGGGTAATATTGAGTAAAACTGTAATTCACTAGATTATTTATATATACGTCAAAGATGTGCTCCCTTCTTAGCAGTAAATATTCTACACTTCATCTTAATATATTTAGTTGATCTTTTTACATTACCCATTCAGATCTCTTTTGCCCCGTCTACTTTTATCCTTACTGGGTATTAACATGGTAAATTAAAATTTAACTTGCAAAGAATTTACTATCTCATTTCATCTTCACAATAGCTCCACTAGTAGGTATGATCAACATATGATAGGATGCATTACGAATATTCTCAATTTTTCTCCTCTTCTTCCCGTCAAGGAATTACACTTCTCACCCCACAAACTTCTAACGTGGTCACGTGACCTGGTCTACTTCTTCCTGCAGGAGGGATTATCCATCCTGTCCTGGTGAACTCAGGTGTGGCCCTGTGATTGGTTGTGGCCAATGGCACATGTAGGTGACATGCATCACTATGGAGAAGAAGGTTTAGTGTCAGTGAAGTTTCCTACGTCTCTCTCATCCTGCCAGAGAGCAGCCATACTCAGAGACAGAGCCTCCTCCATCTCTCCCCTCTCTTGAGTAAAAGAGTCTTGGGTGGAGCCAGAAGTGAACTGCAATAAACGTGCAGCTTGAGTGTGGAATCAATATTTAGGGTTGTAAGCCACTGAGATGTGTTACCACAGTATAACCTATAACATACCCCAGCTGATAGCTTCCCGCATGGGCAATTTTATTTGCATGGAGCATTTGAGAAAACAACACAGGGAGAGATGTTTCAGTAACACATGCCTCACTTTTACTATTCTGGATTCCCACCAGTTCCTCCTACCTACGCTGCCCCAGTTAAATACATACTCTTAGTGAAATCGCCATCAGAACAATTTTATCCCCGCTGTATTTAACTTTGTGACGCATGCAGTACTGAAATATTGTTATATGATTTCCTCCTTCAAAAAATTTCCTATTATTTTCTCCAAATAAATAAATAAATACGTATACAAATAAAGTATTGGAAAATACTGAAGTGTTATGAATCCCAGCCGGTATGGCCTTCTGGAAAGTTTTTTTTTTTTTTTTTTTCTTATTAGACGTGTTGAGATATTGACAACAACCCAGGTTTTAGGGTTCCTCGGTCCTGGTTTTATAGAATGAAACATCAGGTGGATATAGGCAGGCTAGAGCACATCTAAGCAGTTGGTCTTTCCTTGAAATATAATTGTAGTCAGATGGAAGTTACCAGAAAAAAAAAATGGAAGTCTTTTCTATATTTTATGGTAGCAGCATTTGGGTAATCCAAAAACCGCATGCTTATAATGATTTATATCCTCTTTTTCCCATGTAGCACACAAGTAATATAAAAATTGACCTCAATAATATTGCAAAGCCATCTTTCCTCATTTCTGGCAATAACAGGATGGAAATTTTATTATAGTTAATTTTGTCTATACCTTCCCCCTAAGCTATCTAAATTGCCTTCAGAATATTCTTTAATTACTTTTAATATTATATTGGTATTACTTTAGTGATTAAAAAGTACTTATCATAATTTTAAAAACACAGTTCTAATTGCATACTTGATGTCGTGATGTCTTTTAGAGGCTAAGAGATTTTTATAATGTTTACACATTTTGAATGACTATTCCTTTGGGAAAATCAGGTATGATTTTTATAAATAGTTCTCAGAGAATTTCCAGCCTCATGCTTAAGAACTTATCTTAAATGATGTAAGTATGACTCTATCGGAAACAATTTTAGACATCTGATTATATAATTTCACTAATCATTTATTATAATTATTGATGTTTTTATTGTTATTATTAGCAATTTCCTAATTCAGATGAACACAGCAAGGCTTAGGGTATATAATTAGGAAGTATATTTGGATTGTATGTGACTAGGTGCTTCAGTCCTGTACCTCTGAGAAAATATTATAATAGTCCCAAGGAATCACATAATTTCTGATGAAAAAGTTATGTGTTCTCAATCTCCAACTGAATGTTGTAATTCATTTATAGAGGAAATATCACATATTAAGAATGTGCTAAATGCTGAGAATACAAAGACAAATAAAATTGTAGTCTTGATCTCAATGATTTTATTTTTTTATTTTATTTTTTTTTTTTTGAGACAGAGTCTCGCTTTGTTGTCCAGGCTAGAGTGAGTGCCGTGGCGTCAGCCTAGCTCACAGCAACCTCAAACTCCTGGGCTTGAGTGATCCTTCTGCCTCAGCCTCCCGAGTAGCTGGGACTACAGGCATGCGCCACCATGCCCGGCTAATTTTTTTTATATATATATCAGTTGGCCAATTAATTTCTTTCTATTTATAGTAGAGACGGGGTCTCGCTCTTGCTCAGGCTGGTTTTGAACTCCTGACCTTGAGCAATCCGCCCGCCTCGGCCTCCCAAGAGCTAGGATTACAGGCGTGAGCCACAGCGCCCGGCCAATGATTTTATTTTTTAGTGAAGAAGAAAACTATTCAAACAAGTGATATAGAAAAATGCCATGCATAAATATGCATGATATGCATAAATATGCTTATCATAGTATTGTCCACGATAGCACAATTTTTAAACAATGGCAGTATGTTTAAATAAATAATGACATAGTCACATAACAGAATGTACACATCCATTGAACTGCTGGCTGTGAAGAGTCTATAAAAACATGATATTATGTTTATAATTGGATAGCCCATGAAAAAATAACATAACAATTTGTTTCCATCATCAACTATTATAAAATTACTTAAAAGATTTGATGAGAAAACAGCGTAATATACACACTTAATATTCTACACTAGTGGGGCTATAGAAAATTGGGGTTTTTTTTTTCTGTATGTTAATAGTATCCTACAAGTCTTCCCGTTCAAATTTTATAATATGTGAAAAGGAGTTCATTTGACTCACCTACCAGATAGTGCTCTGGAATAAATTTCTAATCATAAAAAAATAAATAATTAAATTTAGAGAGAGAGGTAGAGTGTTCGCCTCTGTCAAGAAAATGGCTGTGGCAGCCTTGAAAATTTGCACCTTGGTTCTCTTGCCATGATAGGCAAGAGGACCTACCTCTTGCATGGTAGGTTCGTTGCCTGCCAGCCCAGCTGCCAGCGCTGGGGGTCAGCAGGGAGTCCACACCTGACTCAGGTTTTCCCAGGTAGCTCTCAGGCCACACCTGAACACGGGGTGTGGTCAGTGCAGACCAAATCCCTGTCAGACCAGGGGCCCCTCGGAGGGGCAACGTGTCTTGGAGGACACCCACTGGCCTGGCCAAAACTTTCTTAGAAGAGCCCTGCACTCCCAGACTCTTTTGATCAAACTTCCTCTTTCCTCCTCTATTTCCTAGACGTAAACATCCATTGTTTCCTTGCCCATGTATGCCCTCTTCCTCCCATTCCCCTTTCTCCTGTCTAATCTCATCATGGCATCTGCTTCTTGAAGGCTTCTGCTACTGCCATCTTTCAATTGCAGCCTGCAACTATTTACCAAAGAAAGTTTTTCAGTCACATAGTATATTGTTACTTGTTTCTTTTTGTCTTACTAAGCTTAGTTATTTTAATCTATTATGCACATTTCTCTGATGACATAAGAAATGACTGCATGTGAAAAATACTTTGATGACTGCGTTACCTTTCTTTTACATAACGAACAAGTTTGGGCTAATAAATAAGAGTTAATTTAAGTAAAGGCAAGGCACATAATCATGAAGGGAATCCATCTTTATCACGAGGGAAATAATATATGCCTGTAGCAAGTCAATAAATTAATATAAATTATTTTTCGTGCACAGCATAAACACCCATTAAAACTCCTATTTTTTTCCAGGACAATCCTGGTTTATACCTGTTGTCCTAATTTTTAATAGCAACTCTCTCACTCACAAAATGACCTACTTTGGATGATGAATTATATAGTCACCCCATATATAGTTCACACAAAGGTGACTGCAAATGTCCTGGTTCTGACACACAAAA